AATGCTCTATTTTATTTTTATTTTTTAATTAATTTTTATTTGGCCCACGGACCAGCCCTATCCATATTTCTCAAGGACCACAAATTGGCAGACTTATTCAAACTGGGCTAAAAATCCCTTTTTCTCAAATGGGCTCCAAAAATCGTAGTCCAACCCTATAAAATCAAGAATTAGGCCAGGCCAGCCCAATGGGCCTATCCCATATTGACGGCTCTATGAATTAGATATCAAAGTGTTATATATGACCCTCGTTAAATCATAAATATCATTATTTGATGAGTAGTTAGAATATTCATGTCACTCACTAATACATTTTCTCTATTAAAAGGAGGCACGTTGGACGGTTCTTATTATGTATTTATTTATTCAATTATGTCTGCGACATATAGTTATAAACAATTAAGTTGGATTAAAATAATATTTTGGTTGAGTACATTAAAGATTCTTTAAACTCCAGTAAAATTTATTTAGACACTCGAATTATGACTTATTTCTATTGAGAATCTGAACACATGATTGTTACGCCCCCTAAAACTAGTAGGTGAAACTAGAGCATTATGTGAGAGTTTGAGTTTGATGTGAGAGTTAATGTTGTAAAATGGCTTTTCGGACTTAGGGTGAGGGGTTAAACGTCAAGGTATGACTCCCCAAGGACCAAACAAGGGGTCCTTGACGAGGGCCTTAAAGTTAACCCCAAAGTTGCCCCAAATCTACCCAAGCTGCCAAAAAGATGTGACCTACGAATGGGACCTACTGGGCGTATGTCCATCCACTCCTCGTGGGGGAGGCTCATAGGTCAAGACCCCAAGTAAGGGGTTGCAGACCACCACCCACGACCTTCAGAACGGGGCGTAGACCCACCCACGGGGTCATGGGCGTAGGTGTTGCCTGCACTTTTGCCTAGGTTCAGCCAAGGTAAGTTGGTTTTAGGTAATTCCTAGTTTAATTATTTTAATGTGGTGTTGTTTTATATTATTTTAATAGACTTATTAAGTAATTTTAAACCATTAACTAACCTATTTACTTCATAAATCCCAAGACCCCCAAATCATAGCCAACTTTACCCCCAAATATTTCTCTCACTAAAACCTCCATTGAAGAAGAAGAAGTTGAAGTCTAAGGTTCAAGAACTCATATTTTCTACCCAAATTCATGAGGAATATTCATATAATGTATGGTAGTCGTTGATTCATGGAATGCTTTCATTCATGAAGTCCTCAAACTTCCAATTTCAAAGTAGAAAATTCTCCAAAACCTAGGGTTTTCACTCCAAGTCATGGATTCTTTCTAAAAACATTTTCAATGGTTTAATTGCTTTATATTATGATCAAATTGATGAATTTCTACTGTGTTAAGATGAATATTTAAGGATCCATGACTTTCCTAATTTTCCTAAAGTGGAACTTAAAGTGTGAGTATTATTATATGTTGATACAATTGAATGGATAATGGTTGTTTATGGTGTAATTACATTAATTTAGTATGATTATACATGTATTCTTGATTAACCTAAGGTTTTAGGGTGAAATTGATATAGTCTGGTTTATGCCATAGAAGAGGCAATTGAGGGCTTAGATGTGACCTTCTAAGATTGATGCACTACTTTATGAATTACTTGAGATTAGAGGAACTAAAGATGAATTACTTAAAAGTAAAGCTTGTAAACATGAATTGACTAGATTAGGGCTTATATGATGGATCATGGTTTAATGATATTGAGATTTAGTTTGTATGATGTTATATGACTATAATTGGTTAAGAATGAAGCATGTGGTTGGATTATCTTGAGAATTAAGTATATATAATATGATGATCATGTGAGGTATTGCTTGAGAGTAAGGCTTGTAGTATGAAGATGACTTCTAGGGCTTTAATGGTAAAAGCTGATATAAATGAGCTAATGATGCTAATGCTTTAAGTGGGAAGCTATTGTGTGTGTTGGATAGTATGTGATTTTATTGTGGAAGGACTCCACCAACATGACCTATATTATGAGTGTTTGAGATCATGCATTTTATGACTTGATTACTTGAACTATGATTATATTCATGTCTAAGCTAATGAATGCTAGATGTGTTAATTGAATATGTTATTTGGTCCTTAAAGGGTGAAATATATGATATTATACATGTTTATGAGAGTGTGTTCATGATTTAAGACCATCTTTTGAGAAAGTAAAGTGATCATGACTTTGAAGAAATTGAGGTGTTGTTGAAAGTCTATTCTCACTCACACACACTAAAACATGATTATTCCATGATTATGAAGATATTATTGTGTTGATTGAAAGTTCATTCTCATAAACACATAATGAATAGTTTCACATAATTAAGATTCTAGGTTAAAAGTTCATTCTCACCTAATGAATCTATGAGCTCTCTTTATGAATTGTGTTGGATGGAGGGTAAGATACTCCTTCATGCGTGTCAATTCAATTCAAGATTAAACATGTAATCGTGGTAATCAATTCTTAGCACCGAGTGGATATTGAATATGAGATAGAGGCTATCCCGTTAAGAAAGGCCGGGTTTCTAAAGTTAATCTCATGAGATGGAAGTTCCCCCGTTAAGTAAAGTTGAGTTTCTAGTAGCAATCTCCTTATCCCATAACTACGTGCACCCGTAGGTTATTTAGCCATTGGATTCATTTCCAAGCTAATACATTTTAGTTCAACCTTAGGCAAGTAGGACACCTATTTTCGGTGTGGGGCATGACACTGGATTCCATGCAAGCTCACATGGTCTACGTCGGTTAAGGTTAATTTCCACAAGGTTGAGTCTAGGATATACTATGGCAATTCAAGAGGTACTACTTAGTGTGGGTGGGGGTATGGGACTTCATCCATGCATTGCACAAGTAGGCTTTGAGAGTGATTATGGTAGATTCCTCTTTGTCAAGATGACTCATGTAATGAATGTGCTTGTGCCTAAATGGTAATTTCATTTGATGTAAAGTCTACTTCTAATGTTGTATGTTAACTTGGATTGTTTCTATGAGTTGCTTTCCTTGTCATGACTTATTAAATGTGCATGTTTCCTTGTCTATAAGAAATAGGCTAAAGATGGGATCCAAGAATGGTAAACATGACTATGGTGGCCTAAAAGGGATACTTAGTATGAGTGGAATTATAGGATGCCATCAATACATTGCACAAGTATAACTTAGGGTTACCTAAGAGATGGTTCTATTATGTTATAATGAATTATTTGATGAATATGCTTGTGACTTGTGTTATACACTAAAACTGCATAATGATGCTCAACTTAGTAAATGCATGCTTTTCAACCAAAATGTCCCTTTTTGCATGTTTTAAAGGATTTTATGCATGGCTATCATATTTAGTACATCTTTGTGCTAACTCATATTTCTTCTACATTTTTCACGAAGTGTAGGGTTTGGAGACTTGAGTTCTATTCTTGGAAGATGGGTTTCTTAGGAGCAAGGAGTTGAAGATTTGGTGAGTCCTCATATCTTCGAGGACAAACCCACTATTACCTTTATGTCTTTTATTTTATGTTTAGAGCTTTTGTTTGGGCTGCATTCCGAAGTTGTAGTCTTAATGGTTATAGATGGTTTGAGACAAACTGTAGACTCCCGCTTGTTTTTATAAAAAGACTTCGATTGTAAAAGAAAAAGTTTTAAATTCCGCACCATTTTTCTATGTTCTTATGTTATGATATGCTAAGAGGCTTGTATGAGGCTCTTCGGAGTCTTGTACGTCGTGTTACGTCTAGGAGGTACTCCTGGGTCGTAACAATGATACAATGTTTTTATTTGAACTAATTATGTGTTAGCCCCAATAAAATATTAAATCACATGCATGTTTTAATTGATATTGATAATTATAGTTAATTCAAATATATTTTATATGATTAACTAATTTTACGTAATAGGCGCTTCTAAATTTTTTTAGTTGAAAGTGCTTAATCGAAACAATTTAACATGTCATGTTAGATGCTTAATTAAATCACACCATGATTTGAATGTTAAAATAAAATCTATTAGCAAGTCTAAGGTGTACTGATGCATTCAGTAAGATATGATACCACAAATTAAATTAATCTATTTTGGTTACGATCATAATAGTGTTTGTGAAAGGAAATACAATGATAGTTTGTATTTATAAATCACTGCATTATATTACAAAAATAGTACATAATATTATTCAATAGTCCTGAAAACACTATATAATACATATATAATAGTCCAGAAACAAAAAAACATGAGAGTATTTTTGGTCATGTAGTTGACCAACTTAAATTAATACTCTTGCACTTGGATGTAGATATGAATCATCGCATTCAACATCTCTCGTTAGAATTTCTGGACTTTTACTTATTTGTGTATATTTGAAATTGAACCTGAGAGTTCAGCAAAACACTTCAATAGGACATCAAAAAATGAAGTAATTAATCCTCACAAAGTGGTTAATTAAGGAAACTCTCGGGATAACCTTGATAGATTTAGAGACATACAAAATTGCATTCATCATTTCCAGTACTTTCCAGTTTGTACTCTTGCACTTCTACTTGTTTGTGTAAATTTCAAAGTGAATCCGGGAGTTCCCCCAAACACTTCAGTAGGACATTAAAAATGAAGTAATTAATTCCTAATGAAGTGGTCATGGGAACTCTAGGGATCACCTTGATATATAGATGTAGACATGAATCATTGCATTCATCATTTCCCATACTTTTCAGCTCGTACTCTTGCATTTCTACTTGTTTGTGTAAATTTCAAAGTGAACCAGGGAGTTCCCTCAAACACTTAAGTAGGGCATTAAAAATGAAGTAATAAAGCCTTTATGAAGTGGTCAAGAAAAGTCTCGGGAATACCTTGATAGATGTAGACATGAATCATCGCATTCATCATGTACTCTTGCACTTCTACTTGTGTAAATTTCAAAGTGAACCCGGGAGTTCCCCCAAACACTTCAGGAGGGCACTAAAAATGAAGTTATTAAACCATCATGAAGTGGTCAAGGGAACTCTAGGGAACACCTTGATAGATTTATACGTAAAATATTGTGTTCATTATCCACAACCAATACTCTCACACTTATATTTGTTTGTGTAAAATTTCAAAGTGAGCCCAGGAGTTCCCCCAAACACTTCAGCAGGGCATCAAACAACAAGTAAGCCCTAATGAAGCGGTCAAGGGAACTCTAGGGAACACATTGATAGACTTGAAAACCATTTTTCTTAATCATCTCCACCTATCTAGTAGTACTCTAGCTTGCATTCCTACTTGTTTGTTTAGTTTGTCACAACATACATTCCTATTTATAACATTGTTTTTATAGGAAAATTCCATCCCAAATGTGAAAGTGAGGTTTGAACTAGGATATGGGGTGACACTATATTGAATGTGGCTACAAATATGGGTAATATTAAAGTTTGAGAATATATGAAAAGGTAATTCCTTCTCCAGATCCTTGTCTCTTTACATCTCATATTGTACCTTTTCCTCCTCCTTTTTTTCATGTCTTAAAGTTTGGGTGCATGATGGCTTCCCTTGCTAATTCTTATACCAAAGTTTTAACTTATGATATTTAAAATTCATATAATTTACTAGCTTTTAATTTGTATAGTACTACATCTGGTCCTTGTATCTTCTACTTTTTATGATTAATTATTTTCTTTAATTCGACTATTATTATACGATTTTTCAGAATTTTTTTAAATATGTTAAATTTCTTTTAAATACATTTAAAAACCCATATGCAAATTCACATCGCAATATTTAAATACTTTGACTCTTGTGCGACAGAGGGGGTGTGTATTTTTTTAAAAAATATACTAGATACCTTGTCCAATTTTCTTTATGATTGATAAAATAAAAGGTTTCAACAAAAAAAATAACGTTCATGAGTCAATTTTATTTGTGCATGGAATGCTCTCCTTTTATTTTGGTAGCTAAAAGCTTAGACATGTAATTAGATCAGAGAATTCTTCTACATCTTTTGTAAATTATATTGTTGAAAAGAACAGAAAGAATATTTGCCTTCACGTGGATAACAATGAAGACCAGGTTCAATATTAAAATCTCAAGGAGTATATTCTTAACTTTAGGAGCCTATTGTTTGTTACAAGGAGTATTTCTTGTATTTATACTTACTCCTCAGTTTTTGGATTTTGCACGTCTTTTAAGAAATAATGATCAATATGAATATTTTATACAATATTCATATTAATTGATGTTTAGTTTTAATTTAGATCTACTAGGGGAATGATTACTGAAACAACTACTTTATTAGATATATATCTATACCATATATATTAATTCTACCCATACTTTCAAATAATTACGTAGCTTATCACTAATTAAGTGTTTTCTACCAAAAATGGAGGAAGATACACCTAGAAACATGTATTTCTGCTACTAGCTATAATAAAATAGGGAGAGAGGCGAGCTAGGTAGTCATGTATCCCAGATACATGTGAAGCATGCTAAATACATACATACATACATACATATATATATATATATATATATATCTGGTGTGATTCACATGTATTTGGATACCGATATATAGGAGTGTGGTGAGCGAGATGTGAGAAAGGCGAGGAAAGCGAGCGAGATTTGTCTATGTCTTTCAGATACATGCGAATTTATTTGGATACATAGCTAACTATGCTTTGATAAGATCATCCCACGTGATTTAAAGTTGAAGTTAAATCTTTGTACATATTTTCATAAACAAATACTGATTTAAAGTAAAAATTTGAAATCATGTTTCCAAATTCTATGATTAAACACCTACTTAAGATAGTAATATTAATATCCTTTCTGACACCAAAAATTGAAAAGAGGTAAAAAAAAAAAAATGCATTTTGGTCAGGTTGAACCTAGTCAGAATTGTGTGTTGAATTCAAGAAATAGAATCACAGTTTGTAACAAGTGACCACAAAATCTATCTACCTTTTGTAGTTTTGTAGTCATCATGAATATGATACATATCACTCAAAGGGGCATTGTGAAATAAAAGAATCAAACAAGTACACATAAATCACATTCAACGAGAGAAAGAAAGGAACTTTATTTTTTTTCATCTTTCATACGATTAAATTCTTCATATTTAAAGCACATGAAGAATCTGATTGACAGGTCGTCTTCTTGAATCAGGAATATTTTCTTAACCAAATTATTAATTGCGAACATTTTTGTTCAATGTCACATAATTTCAAAGTGTTTTTTTACCCAACTTACGTACAATCAACAGTAAAAGTAAAATGTTTCATTTATCAAACCAAAATAAATTCAAATAAAAATATTTAAGGACACCTACACTTGCCATAATTTTTATTTAGACAATTAACTTAGGATCCTCTATTATCGTTAGGAGTACAAGTTGGCCAACCTATGTTCCTATCAAACAATTTTTTCATACAATTTAAGTGAAACATATGTTTGCATGACATCTTTATAATTGAGGATCCTCCAAAAATGTCCTCTTCACATATTTTGCAACTCTTAGTTGAAACAGCTTGTGCCATGACATGACTATCATTTTCATTTATTTGCTTGTATATGTGTGACATATTAATCTTAACACCAAGTCCCAATACGTAGTGATCATCAACGAGCAAAGAACAATGACTATATTTATATGCCAATTCGATCAACTCATCAACGATCACTTTGCATTCGAAGAACAATGGAACTTGACAATTTCTTAACTGGTCGTGTAAGGCCGGCTTGATGAGTCTTTTCTGGATTCTTGAAATTTTGAGATTCCATAGTGAAACATGTTGAGATTGGTGGACATTCATGTTTGTAATGTTTACCAGAAATATCGTACAAAAGATGTCCCATTTCGAAAATAAATTGAATTACTACTAATTCAAACGTAAAAGAATGAAGGAAATTTTTGGGGTTTATTTCAGGCCACCCTAAGGTGTAATACAAATTAGACTCTTCATAAGCAAAAATATCCATGGTAAATTAACTTGATTAAAAGATTGTTAGATGGGTTAGGAATTTATAGATATGAATCCTAAACTTTCTCTGAAAAGGATTTAAGTGTTTTACTATAATTAAACTTGGTTTAGTAATAGTTAACATGTACGTTTTCTAACTTGCTATTGTAGTTGACAAATTTAAGCTTATTCTATGTTGAAACAAAATGTGTGAATGGAAAATGAAGAATTGTGATTTTTATGAAGAGTTGTGACTATTCTGATCCAAAGTTGCGACTTTTCGAAAGGTTGTAACATTTTTGAAGGATTGTGATTTTTCGAAAAAGTCAACTTTTTCGAAAGATTGTGAATTTTTCAAAGGGTTGTGACCTTTTGGACAATCAGCACTTACTCACATTATCCTTTGTAGTCTATAAATAGAGGAATTTTCTCTCTTTTTTTTTTACTACGGAATATATGAACTAATTCTTATAAATCTTCTGCACAACAAAATGTATTTTCCAATTCTAAAAAGGTAAAAAGGGCTTTAGAGTTTAGATGATGCAATGTTTCCTAAGTAAGTGTTAGAAGTCGGATGAGAATATTATGAAACTAACTATATTGTACATAATTATCACTCATTCTTATTATCAAATGATAATAATCACTTTATTAACAAGAATTATTTTGAGCTAGTTGACAGTGGCGTTTACCAAACATATTTTTGGGGTAGAATGGTCTTTAAGGTTTCATTAAAGTCAATGTACGATAAATTAAGAAAAACTAAAAATATGTACAAACTTAGGGTCTACCACTTGCATTTCATAAAGCGGTCAAGGAAACTCTGAGGAACATCTTGATAGAGATATATACGTGAACTATTATGCTCATCATCTCTAGCCAATACTCTTGCACTTCTACATATTTTTGTAATTTTCAAAGTGAACCCGGGAGTTCCCCCAAACTCTTGAGAAGGGCTTCTAACAACAAAGTAAGCCTGTAAGCCCTAATGAAGCGGTCAAGGGAACACCTTGATAGATTTATACGTGAACTTGTCACGCCCCGAGTCTACACCCTGGGCGGGACCGGCACTCGGAGATCATTGCTGGCCCCAAGTGAACCCTTGGCCTTGCTTTCTTAACTCAGCGGAAACCTACTTCATGCAAAGCAAAGTCATAAGACAACTTAACTGATACAAATCTGGCCATAAAGGCACCTCGGGTCTCAAAATAGAATATTTACATATATACATAGATAAGAGACTCAAAACTAGCTGACTGACTTCTATGAAGCCTCTAAACTACTGAGATGGATGTTGGGCCAGACCCCGCAACACCCTAATAAAACATAACTAAGAACACAAAATAATTGAGTCCTCCAGAATGCAAGGAGGCTCACCACTGACTCTGGAGTGCTCAGTTGGATCAACGACGTGCAGGATGCTGATCCGGGGTACCTGTATCTGCATCGTAATAAGATACAGGCCAACTGGCATCAGTACATGAAATGTACGAGTATGCGAGTTGGAAAACTAAGCAACATAGGCTAGAAGGAAAATCTGGAAGAAACTGAATAGCTTACCTGGCTCAACTCAACCTGACTGACTGCTTTCAATATAAGGCAATTTAAAACAAGTGCGATATAAAGAAAGACTGCTTTAAACATGTTATAAACTCTGAGTCTATACAAAGATACAATAAGCCTGAGATGTATATAGAAATACGATGATCTGATGTATATAAAAATACAATAATTTATGTGTATGAAGATACAATAACTGCTGTGGGAGTTTCTCTAACCGACAACCATCACATGAGAGTTATAGTGATGATACAGCGATCGACCTCACGCTGCCAAAGCATCTTATACCCCGCCAAAGGTATAAGACTTCAACTGCCTAATGGATCCACTAGTCTAATCTGAAAAGGATTCATCTAAAAAGTATGATCCCTTTCTACCAATGGTGGCTAACATGGTTCTATGGTGGCTGTGGGTTCTTTGAATGCTCCCCCAATTCGGTGCTCAATACTACTCCTAAAAATGTACTGGCTCTTATGTTTTTAAAACATATGTTTTCTTGCTGATATGAGATAATTACTCAAAAAAAAAACTATCCCGAAGGCTCTTTGGAAATCTCAGTTTCCAACCTTGTTTAAATGTAAAGACATTTCTTTAAAACTTCTTTGGGAATACATAGTTCCCTAATAACTTTGAGATATAAACTCAACTTTAAACTTTTTACTCAACTTGAAACTTGAGACTCTTTACTTAGCTTGAAACTCTAAGCTCTTTGCTTGAC